TTTACCCAAAACAAATCAAATCTGCGCATTAGTTCAGAGCATCCATGTGCCAAGTTTCATCAAAATCCAATGAGTGGTTCTTCATATATCAGTGGAACAGTCATGAAACAGCTAAAAATCAGCTAATATCTGCAAATTAGGTAATTAATATTCATAGATTTTTACCAAAACCTAATCAACTCTGCGCATTATCCCAGAGCATCTATGTACCAAGTTTCACCAAAATTTGATTAGTGGTTCTTGAGATAACGGTGGAACAAAAAAAGTGACATACATACATACATACATACATACAGACAGACAGACAGACATACAGACATACAGACAGGGTAACTGCAAAGACTCCCTTTTGTGCTTCGCACACGGGAGTAAAAAAAAATTGTAGAGACAAAGGTGCACAATAGGCCAATTGGTTCCATGAATAGTATTATATATCAGCCCGCTATAAATTGGTTGCCAACGTGTATATATATATATACATGTGCACACATAGTGGGACTTGCTACAAATACGTGTAGTCATGACGACACTGTTTCTTTAATTTTTACAATGATATTCAACATAAACAAATTTATAATTTACATACTAGATATCCATATTATAAGTAGATGGATATGTAAGTAGACAGTTGACACTACATTGTGTATGCAATATACATCATTTGTGACAAAAAAATACAGCATTTAGCATAACATCATCACAACATGATATATTTTGAAAAAAAAAAAATTATAAATAAGTTTGTTAGTCATATACAATTTAATTATAAATTGTTTATCCTGATAGTAATAAAAACTTCACCTGCACTTGATAGAAAAAGTTAAAAAAAATTCTTTAGAGAATGTGTTTAAGTTTTCAAATTACAAATATGTGTGCATACCAATTAATATCAGCACAAAAAAAAAGTAAAAAAGTTTGTTTTACAGTACAGACTGAACACAGTATTGCTTATAAATAAAACAGTGCTAGACTGTGATGATATTTATGTAGAAATGGTTAGGTACCTTGTACTAAGTTTGGAATAAACCATTTATAATAATACTTAATATAAGAATGATTGATACCATACAGTGGGTACAAACTCATTCATGTTGACATAGCTGATATCCATGCAAAGTTCACAGTTTCCTGTTTACATGGCAACAAAAAATTAAGCAATTAAATATGATTGGATGTTCCTATAGATACTGTATTCAGTTAAAAAAATCTGAAGTGTTTAAGTCAACAAGTATATTATTATTGTCATAGCAACCAATCATCACAAGTATATTATTAAGGCTCACTTGAGCAACAGTAATCCATCTATGTCTGTCTGAATGCAACAGATTTCTTTGTGTTATACTGTGAATTATTACAAATCCACAAAAGAAATCTTTCACTATACAAGAGCATATAGCATAACTGCAATATTTTCATCATACCTTTTTATTGTTGATTTTTGCCAATAAGACAAATTTAAAATGTAAATAATTTAAATTTGTATGCAAATATCATAATATTTTATGTTATCAGGTTAAGTAAGAAAAAAAAGCATGATGACAACTAATTAATTTGATTATTCATAATCTAATTATCATATTTTCTATATTAGTAGTTCATGCACTTAATACGTAAATCACAGACATGAATCCGTTGTAAAAATATGTCATATTTTAATGATTCTGTATACAACTAATGTAATTTTTGGTTTATATGCACTTCTATGCAAGATGCACTTCTAATAAAGTATACAAGCTACCGGTAATACAAAAGTGTCAATATAAAGTGGTTCAAACTGCAATTACTGTAAATGACGTAATTGACTGAGTTTCCTCAAACAACTCAAGCTAAATTTAATTCATGTTATTTCCTGACAGTGAATGGACAGCAATCTATAACCATATTATTATACATAGCAAATCGTGAGAGATTAAACCACTGCCATCAATATCTCTTTTTGAAGTAAATCAAGCTGAAAATAGATACTCTTATAGTACACATTTGTGTGCATGCAAGCCATTTACCAAAGTCAAAGTCACAAATCATGTATTTCTTGTGAGCAGATTATAATACAGCTAATTTTTGATAATAATAATACTGTTATTGCACATCCATGATGATACAATTGTGTCCTACACCTCAGGAATGGTTGCTGGCATGTTGAAATTTGTTGTGTTTTGGAGGGATAAAATGGCCACCAGTGGGTAAAAAGAACAACAATTAATTGACATGCATAATTCTCTCATTATGACTATCTTTATAATGACTCTGCACAAAATTGTTGCAGGAATAACTGAAAAATGATGTGCGATGTACAGACAGACTATATCCTGAGTGTAACTTAACTCTGCTGATACCACTGTTTTTTGTTGTATTTACCTACTGTGTTACTAATATGAGATATAACCCAAAACAAAAACTGAAAATTGACTCAAATTTTGTCTGTTGGCTCTAAAATTAGGCTTCATTTCCAGATATATTAAAAAATTTAAGGAAAAAAACAGAAAAACTTGGGCGCGAAATTCTTGTGTGAAAAAGTTAAAAATAAGCTAATCTATATGATAAATGAATTCCATATCAAACATGGCGCTGTGCGGTGACTGAGACACTTCAAAGGGAAATTGTTAGGCAAATACTAAAGGGCAATGATCGATAATATAATATACGAACCATAAATAAGAAATGCATAATAAGCCTTGAGATCACTGGGTGCTGATTCACTAAACATTGACATCATATCTAGAAAATCATCAAATGATAGACTCCCATCTCCACACTCAGAGAATACTTCACAAATTCTCCTCTTGAATGGATTTTCCTGAGAGAAGTAAAAAACATGGTATAAATGAAATTAGTAACTCTGAATTACCTTAAATGCTTCCAGAAATCAATGACATGTTTTCACTGTGTATACACAGGTTTTACCATCTCAAAAGACATGAGAAATAATTGTATCTTTTCAAAATTTAGACCATTTTGAATAGGTTTTACTGGGAGAGTCAATTTTATCTCATCAACATACAGTATATGCTACAAAAGCGTTAATTTAATGATGCAGCCAAGAAACTTAAATTCACAAACTCTTTGAATACATAACAAGATTTAGAGGCTAAATAAATCACTTTTTTTCAATTTACATCCATAAATCTATAGATAGCTACAGGAAATTTAGGCTATTTAGCTTTATGGACACCCTGGAATAGTATATTTTTTATATTATGCAGACAATGAATTTACATTTGGAGCCACAATTTTGTTCTCCACATTTATTTTTTCTCAATTTAATGTTCCATACATGTATTCTTAGATCTTATAACATATTCATACCCAGAGTATAAACTAACACACTTTGAAAAACAGATAAGAATCTTTTCATTCACAAGTAATTAATGCCATAGTAGGTTATTTTATTGTATTGCATTCCCAAAAATTGTTCAGAAAGTTGTTAGGTGGCATAGACATATGTATACATGCGTATGGCAGAAGACTTTTATACTCATATACGAGTTACGAGTGACTACCGTATTTGCTCTATTAGTAGCGCATAAAGCACTTGAGTAAATGAAATTCTGTGCAGTTTTTTAGTAGGTACATCGATCAATATAGAAATATATAAGAATTATTAAGCAGTTAATTAGGAAATTATGCTGTACATGATGATTCTACACCATACTGTAACATTCAAAATTGTACAGATATTCTATAGAACACTATAGGAGTTTTTTGTACTGGAAGAGTAAATACGGTCAAAATAAGTCAGAATTTAATAATCAAGCTTACAATGAAATTTTGGAGTATGTGTACTTTTAATGAAAAGTACTTATGTTGTACCACAGTTCAGAATTTGTCAAAAGTCATTCTAGAATTTCTGTGATTACCGGTATACAAGATAATATGGTTTAATTAATGCATAATGCATGCATACATGCAATATGGTTTGATTAATGGCATGCATACATACCAGATCAAATTACTGGTAAGCTATTCACAACAAAAATTTGATTCGGCAAAACCTCCTCAATTCATGACACTCCTACACGTCAAGGTACAAATTAATGTTAACTGCACAAAAACTACTCACTGGCATCACACTTAGTGGTTTGAATGTGGTATTAAACCATAAGGTATCGATGATTTAACTAGTCTGTATTTGTCTTTTAAATGTTAATACATTGTCTGTTGAAAGCCTTCATGATTGAATGGTACAATGTATATAACAGTGTCAGCATGTGATGTATTAACAGTATACTGAATCTAATATTGTATTATTTATATGTATAATTGCTTTTTTACACATATTTTGAGTTTTAAGTTGTAAGTTTTAAAGATGTTATCTGCAAATACCGTGATTTACAGCTATTTGACCTATCGCATCATCAATGATCTCAATTAGCATTTTTGCAATAAAATGACTCAAAATTTTGTTTTTCAGTTCAGAAACAAACAAATAAAATACTTAGTTTGGCTAAAATTAACATGGAGATAAATATATCTACAACTGATTTATTCAACATAATCTCACTTCTTAGAATACAGATAAATGTAATCATAGACTCATGATTTGCATTACAGTGACAGATCTAAAAATAATTATCAACCACTAACTGTAAGACAGTTAAATTGGTAACAATAACTGGCATTTTATAAGCTTAATTACAGATTCACAAAAAATGTCTATTTTTGAAACACAGGAAAATTTTTCTATTATAGAATATTTGAAAAATTAACCAATGAATGCATAGACTGTGCTGAAGATATTTGAGGCATATGAAGTAGAAACAGGAAACACTTAATAGATACTACAGCTCTGAAAGCAATCTGATCGACAGTATTGAAGTTCATAATACTCTAGAAATAATACAGACAACTCAATAAATTTATTTGATTTTACATCTGTGGTTTGCAATCTCAGAGCACCTACATGTACGAATACACACACACACACACACTGACAGGGTAATTGCAAATTCTCCCATTGTGTGCTTTGCACATAAGAGTAAAATTAGGATGGTCATTTTTCAAGTGTGTATTTATTTTTACCCCTAGGGCATGGTAACAGGAGTTGATGAAAAGTAAAACACCACCCTGTCAAACATTAGAAAATACACTTACAGGAGGGATTTGAAAATTCAATCACATAATTTAAGAAAAAAAAATAATTGAAATGAAATCACTCTAAGGGAAGTGATCACAATCAAGCCATAAGTTGCTGCCCCTGTATCCGCAGATCTCCAGGAAGCCACCATATTCTCCAAGGAGCTCCATCGATTTCACTAATTAGCTTCTAATGAGGTCACCAGGAAACAACATTTTTCCTGTCAGAATATGAACAGGTTTAACTAGTAACTGCCAAACGTCTGTGTTTGAAAAACAAATAAAAAATTGTGGTTCAAAGTTCAGGGAGCCGAGATTCCTATTAGTGATTTCTAATTTGTTTGTGCCAGGGCGTCTAAGTCAACAAAAGCGTCCTAATTATATTCACGCAGTTTGACCTCAATGGTTTGTAGACTAGTTGACCAATCCAACGTTTAATCAAAGTTGCGTAGTCACCATGTTAATAGGTCAGCAGAAACCTTGCTAAAATGTCCTAAAAATATTCAAACATACATAACATAAGTGTTTATGATTTTTTTTTATATATGTTTAAGTTGTCTATGTTTATACAGCAATTGACATTCTTTTGCAGTTAAATATCGGGTTTCCAATTTGTTCCAGTCTGCTTGCGTGAATGAGGCGCTGCACTGAACATTCAGCTCATGAATATTCTAGCATAAATTTGCATATCGCACAGAGTTCCATGGAGCTCCGCGGTGGAAAAAGCAGCTTCTCAGAGCTTTGCGCATTTCGGGCCAGAAACTCCTAGTTTGATTACCTCCCTAATACAACATACATACAGTTTAGTATGGGTTACACATACAGTACATACTACCTATTCAAATTATTTGCAATTATTGTTTACAAATGTAAAGAGCATTTTGATAATGTGAGGGTATACGCATGTTTTACAATGCCTATGTGGGTGCAATATTGTTTTTTTCTAAATAATAAATATTTATAATCATGCTGGTATATTGTGTTTTATTTTTATAATAGCCCAAGTTATAAGCAAATAATACTAAATGTCTAAGGAAGTAAAGCTGCCATTAAACCAGATGATCAGATTTCCTTGATTTTTACAATATTTATTTTATGCTGTCCACAGTTTTTAGTTAATTGTAATTGTGATGAAAATAATTTGGTAAATACCAGTAGACTTCCATTTCATGAGTTTGAAGTCAAACTTTTATATAATTTGTGTTATATTTTATAAGGAACCATGAGATTACAACAGCAGAGCTCAAACTTTATAGAGGCATCAAAGGCAATTACCTTGATGTCCAATGAGTTTACCATGTACCCTTCAATATTCCTATATTATTCTTATGACGCCAAAGCAATTTTATCGATTTTGACCTTGCAAATGCATGCCTTTTCAACATTCAAAGTTCAAGTCATGATATTGATACAGTACAAGTATTATTTATTGAGACAGTAACGCAGCAATCAATGTTCAATGTAATGCAGCAATGAATTAAGTCACTTACGGTATATAACCATAGGCAGTTTTTTTGTTTGTTATGCTAACCGTTTTTGCAAGGCTTTCATTTCACTTTTAAATTAGTATATACATATTGTACAAAGAAGGAGTACAACATAAATTAGACAGAATTCTGCTTCACACAGGATTTGTTTTACTGTAGAATAAATACCTGTAGTTCAGGCATCCTGACAATGTCCTCGTATGGAACCTTGAAAGAATCTTCTTCATTTTTCATATCTTTAGGCACCACTTCAGGATTCAAGCAATGGAAACGCTTGAACAACCTCAGAATTTCTTTTCGGGTAAAATATGTACAGTCCTAGAATGTTAAGAGAAAGGAGATGGGCATTGGAAAATAATTGGCTATCATTGTTTAATACAAAACGTTTTTTGCAAAAATTATTGACTAAATATCAATTGGAAATTGTAACTGGTGGTGAAAAGGTTAGAAAATGCTGTTAATCTCAAACTTTATTTCCTAAACATAAATCACATAATCTTTTCTTCTTCAGGGGTTTTTGGTACTTTTTGTTTCCCAGATTCTATTTTTAAATGATGATTGCTCAGTCGAAACTTACTAAGGCTTTCTTGAAGATATATATTTTTTATTGTAGTGAGATTTTTTTTAAGTTTGAAATTGTTTGTAAATTTCCGGTAGGTTCTCAGTTTCTTTTCTTTTTCTTTTTTTTATTCTATTATAAGTATTGTTAAAGTCATCACATTGCACAATTTGGTGGAAATTAACAATGTACTTTGCACAATTTGCATACGAAGCATGGGGCTTGTATAAGACGACATTTTCGAAATATAATTAAAATTATTAAATATTAATTAAAATAGCTATTTTATTTGTATAATGTGTATCAGTATAATCACTTATCTTTTTTTGGTCATTTTTAATTATTTTTCATACTAAATTATTCAAAAGCGTTTATTTTCATTTCCATACATGAGTTATCGAATGTGACAACTCAGAAGACAAAGTACTCTGACTGTTTATACAGTAATGGTTAATGATAATAATGTAGTGATATATGTACGAAAGGGTGAGAAAAGGCCAGTTTGCAGTCCCATGTTATCGTTACATTACCTGATAAATGTCCAGCTGTTCTTGCGTGAAAACCGATTCCTTGTTTCCCATGGTTATTCCGGAATTTCAGTCAATTAAACCGGTTTACCGCCGGAAGAGAGACGGAAGAACCAAATATCGTACCCGAGCATAATAAAACTGATGTGGTTGGTATGAACGGATGAAGGGACTGTCTCTTTTACGGCAGTCGTAAAGCAAATTCTACAAACATGTAATCCGTTTGAAAATTACAAATTGCGTTTGGAATATGCAATTTTTTGGAGGACCAACGATGTAGATTTCCAGGTAGAGACTGAAATAAGGAAATATTGAGCAATTTACGACCACTGACGTAAAACGGTAAACATATTTGCTGTCACATTTCATCCGGGGTAAATTTGAAGGTTTCTCTGCAGTTCGTGACAGTAGTCTCCGCTAAAATGACGTAGAAACACCCAATTGTAGAACAGGCGGTTTTCCATATTCTTCAAAAACATGGCTGGAACTTCTGGTGAGTAGTAGCTAGCAGGCAATTCAGAATTATCTGGTATCGAACTGAATAACTGTTCCGACCACCTGTAAATCATAACGCAAAATGTAAACAAAGCACGCCGATCGTGTATGCGTGAGGTTGTGAGCTGATTCACTCCATAGATCAAAGTCCCTGCTTGAATAAAAACGTATATAACCACCTCAGAGTTTTAAAAACAGTGAAACCATTTAAATGTCCAAATAGCTCAACTTTCAGGCGTCAATTGCCATGGCGACGACTTTGTATTCATCATGTCACGGTTGAGTGAATTATTATGTCAATCATGTCTCCCGATTTACAGAAAATGGTAAAATCACACGACAGATGCTGAAAACTAGAAGTGGCGAATTCGATCTTGAAAGTATACATACTATTATTGTCAAAAAAGAAGGCGAGTACTTCAATGTTATTGTCACCTTACTGTACTAAATATACGCTCGTTGATTGGCTGGTTGGATTCACTGCCTTCCGGTACGTTTATCAGATAATAAAAAGAAGCTAGGGGGGGGGGGGTATACTACTGTATATATTATAGGATAATGGTACACTAAGGCCAGCAAATGTATTCTGTTGTTTTGGTTTATAATTTATAACATACATGCCTTTGCTATGTAAAAGATGCAAGTCATGATTCCATTGGCAGCAATTACAAAGTAACATATATGTGTTCTCATCAAAAATAATTGCAGCCTACAAATTTGCAAATTTCTGTCT